TTATTCTTTTCTCTTATTTTCTATTTCTTCAATGCTTTCGTTCGCTCTTTCTGTCTTTCTTTCTTTATTCTTTTCATTTCTGTTCCTTCTTTAATATTTATCTGTTTTCTTTAATTTCTTTCTTTCTTATTTTTCTGTATCGCTTTCCTTCTTGTTTGTTCCTTTTTTTCGCTCATGCATTGATCCTTTCTTATCTTTCTCTTTCTTTATATATTTCTTCTATGTTTCTTCTCTAATATTTTTCTTTTTATTTTCTTTCTTTCTATCTTTTTTCTTTCTTTCTTTCATGCATTAATCATTTTTTCTTCTCTCTTTCTTTAAGTTTTTCATTTCTGTTCGTTCTTTAACATTTTTTCTTCTTTCTTCCTTTCTTTTGTTTCTTTCTTTAACCGTTTCCCCTTCTTTCTTTCTTTCTTTCTTTCTTTCTTTCTTTCAAAATACTTGAGCCTCGCGTCTCTTAATCTTATTGCTTTTATCCTTCAAATTACAGATCAAACTCTTCAGCTCTTCCAAATCTTTTAAGTCGGTCTTTCCCCGCTTCCTCCAACGCCGTTTTTCTTTTCTGTCGAGAATCGATCACTCTGAAGACATTGCATGTGGCTGGTCTTCAATAAGATCAAATCTTGCTGGCCATAAGGACAACCACTAATCCTGTTGCTTGAACGATAAATATTCGACCAGATTTAAAAGGCGGTTGGGCAAGGTTGAAAATTATCGTTAACCCTCCAGTTGGAACAGTCTAAGTATTTACTTACTTATCTCTTAATCAATTATATTGGACTCGTTTTGTCGTCTGATTATTTACTTAGAGAAGCTCTTGGTGACCCTCGGCCTCCGAACAGACATTGGAGACCGCGGCGTTTAGAATTACATATGCTTCGCTTCTGTAGCATCAAGGCAGCAGACGATCGAATTTCTTCTGAACTAGTCAGTAATGGCGGAAGTTGTCAAGTGAAAATCGAATTCAGTTACTCATGAAATTTCGTTACGGATAGGTATTTTTCTACATGTGCTTATCAAAACGCATTTGAAATATTAAAAAAAAAATTCCATCCACATTATAGATAACTAGACACTTACGTTTTGCAGCAAGGCATCCAGCCGGGATTGGGCACGGCGATACTTGCCACAGATCATAGCATCCACCCTTATCAACACCAAATAAACAAGTTGTATGTCATGTTTTCAAGAATGCAGATGAGCGCCCATTCCTGTCTCAGTATAGAAAAATCACCCTTCTCAGTATCATTAACAAGCTTTTTGAAGCTACAGTCAACAGGATTTTTGTTGATCACCTCACTAGAGAAAAAACTCTTGAGCGGCAAACAGTACCGATTTTGATTGGCTCGGTCCACTGCTGATATCCCAACTCTCATTGTTTACACAATCAGTGTCAGTAGACAACAAATAAATCGCATGGAGATTCCGTTAGATAGTTCAAAAGCTTTTGACAAGGTGTGGTTTAGATTGTCAATGCCCAGACTCTCTAGTTATGGAATCACTAGGTGGGTTTGTTTAATTATGAAATACTTCGTAACCGGTCGGCCACTGAAGTTAGTTGCTAGCGGCCAATCCTCCAAGGCCCAAGTGATCAGCGCAGGTGTCACTTAATGTTCCCTCCTCGGTTCAAACGTCTTTCTACTTTACATAAATGATCTCCGATAATTTGTGAATATCTGTGCTGATGATACAACGGTTATATGGGTGCACCTCCAACCCTCTAGATGACCACAGTGTAACAACTGATCTTCTCTCTGATCTAGCTTCAACAGCTCAGTAGGTGAAAAAACTGGCTGGTCCAGTTCAACGCTTCGAAAACGACGTTCCATCGTCAGCGAACGGGCCTGAATTTTCCCCAATCCCGATGAATGACCTCAAGTTGTACACGTACGTACGACCCATCGCTAAAGATGCTGGAAAAATGGTTGGGTACCAGTACCGCTCCAGTAAGTACCTGACTCCGCCTCTTACTAATGATGGCGACGTTATATATATATATATATATATATATATATATATATATATATATATATATATATATATATATATATATATCCTATTAAATATAAAATATATTTTTCCAATCCCCGTTAGGTATAACAAAACTCAGCAGGTTTGGGGTACCTAAGATTGCTAGTACAAATCTGAGGTGTACCAAGCAAGGAGGAAAAATTTATATTAATAGTATAAACTTTAGCTCATTTTTTTTTTTTTATAATGAGCACATTGATTACCATCAGCACTAATGTGAAATACTTTTTACTTTATCTCTCTCTCTCTCTCTCTCTCTCTCTCTCTCTCTCTCTCTCTATATATATATATATATATATATATATATATATGATTTATATATACGATCCATCGCTAAAGAAGCTGGAAAAATGTTCGGTTCTCAGTACCGCCTCAGTAAGTAACTGACTCCACCTCTTATCCTCTACCTTTAGAAGAGCCAGATCAGACTGAAAATGGAGTACTGCTGGAGTATATGGGCAGGACCTTTCCAGTCTTCACTTAACAGACACGATAAAGTCAAAAAGCGTCCCTGTGGGTGCTGAGACATTTTCGACCCTGGAACCATTTTTCCACGGACGAAACACTGCAAGCTTTTTGCTGCTCTATCGCTATTTCCATGGAAAATGTTCAGCCGAACGACATTCTTTAGCTATACCAGTTCTAGTAGTAATTCAGTTTCTTTAGCTAGTTAGTAGTAATTCTGTTAAGATAGAAGAATTAGAGAAAAACCTGGGCGTAGATTAATATCTGGGTAATATTCAATGGCGTCACTCTCTATTTTCCCTATTTCACGTTTCTTAACAGAATTAATACAATCCCAAACAAACGTTCACAACAAAATCGTGAAATCAAAAGAAAATGGTTGAATCCGTCAACATAGCAATAAAAACAATATCTCCACACGTGACAGTAACTGACGTAATTTTCAGTTAACAGTATGAAAATTGCGTTCTATAAATTCTTCCAGTTGCTAAGGACATTTTGTTTTTTGTTATTATTAGTTACTTTGTTTAAATAAATTCATTTCATTTTTTGCCTTGAGAAAGTTCATATTGGACGAAACGATTCGGCAGTTTATTACAGTTTTCCTATTGTCATTTATATTTTATAAATATTGTCTTTACTACAAATTAACCCTGAGAAATTTTTTATATATATATATATATATATATATATATATATATATATATATATATATATATATATAATATTAAACAATGACTTGATAGTAAAAACCTTGAATAGTACCAATGAAAGCATCTTAAAATTAAAAAAGTCTATCTATCTATCTATCTATCTATCTATCTATCTATCTATATATCTCTCTCTCTATATATATATATATATATATATAGAGAGAGGGAGAGACAGAGAGAAGAGAGAGAGTTACAAAAGTGTAAAGATCGCTTGAGGAGTAGAATTCAACAGTGTAGTATTAAATTATCTCTTTAAACTCTCTCTCTCTCTGTCTCTGTCTGTGTGTCTATCTGTCTGTCTGTCTCTCTCTCTTTTATCTCTCTCTCTCTCTCTCTATATATATATATATATATATATATATATATATATATTATTTAATATTAAATATTTAATATTGAAGATCTGCTATTTCTTACGGCATCGAGCACTTTTCAGTAAGCAGCTTTTTGGGCAGACTCTTTTAGAGCTGCTC